CTTGCGAGTGCCTATGTTTTTTTGCCCTCGTGCTACCCTTTTTGAGTTCCATTCAATATTCTAAACACAAAAATCCTAGGCGCGTGCTCTTCGACATCACGAAGATCGCATACTCATCCCCGCCCAAGAAGCTATGGAGAAATCCAACCTCCCAGCATCTGATGTGAACACCAGTGAGCTGTTGGAGTGGGTGGAGTCCCAGAAACCTCTCCTAAAGGAGATTGAGACGGATGTTCGCGATGCGAAACGGAGGATCTGTGTGGCCAAGGGGCCGCGCAAAAAGCCAGCAGCTGAAGTGGAGGCTTCCGAGGGCACCTCCGGTGGTGAGTCTGGAGACTAGCTTTATATAGATCGATCGATCGATACAAATATGCACTGTATAAGATCGCGAACGAAAGTTTCCATTGGTCATGCCACACAAAGTCCGACATCGATCACGCAGTGTAGCTGGTATCAGTTGTCAAGTGCACCATGCACTGCCACCGACTGATTCCCACTGTCTGTAGTGGGGTGGTCCCTGAATCTGAGCCCTTCCACTTGCCCATCTTGTTTCCAAGAAGGTTGCATGGATCGATATTGCGCAAAGGCAGTGATCCGTTCGATTCATCCGCATGCCCATTTGCAGAGAAGAGGTCCATGTGAGAGGGTCGTCGTCCGTGCGGTCGTTTTTGGGCTTCGCAGCGTTGAACAACTGGTAGTCCTCACTGTTCTGGTGCCCCTCACCACCGTAGGGCTTTGTTTTTAGAGCCAATTCAGCCTGCGCTCTGTCAGACTCACCATATTGCTGTAGCGCATGTGCGATCCTCATCTCGTGGATCATGAAGCTTGAAATCAAGCTTTGGTGGCAAGGTCGAGAGTGACCAGTTGGACTGTGCAAGATCCCTGGACTTAAGGTGCTTTGTTCAAGTGCTGTGCACAAGCTGTACTATAGAGACTTGTTTCGATCTCAGTGGATCTGCCAGTTCTGGCCTGCTAGTGCCTTAGATCATTGGTGCTTTGATAGAAGCTCCAGTGCCTGGCCAACAGCCACTGTGCACAATCATGTTTCGGGGCTGAACACGATCAATCGCATCGTGTCACAGGGGTTTAAATAGTTCTGTGATGAACATAGAACGCGAAGACTAAACTAGTTCGAAGCTCGGGATCTGAAAGGTCATGTGCACGCTGTAGATTTACTGCACATGTGCGTGCAAATGTGTGCCACCATCAACCATGAGGAAACCTGGACTTGTGATGGCTTCAGTGGGTTTCACTCTGGGGGTTTTGAGTGACCAATCGTTTATCACCTTGTGGGCTACCATGGATTTAGTGGAGGAATATTTGCAGCTCACTCGGAAGGTTCTTTGGTTGCAACGTTTCTGTGTGCTATAGATCGAGTAAACTTAATGTGTGCATTGCGCATGCGTGCTAGGTTAGTGTATCTTCGATTGTGAAAATGCTGAGCGCTATTAAGAAGAGAGTTCCAAGACGACTTCTTCCGTGCCCTGGGCTGTATTAATTCCAATGTGTTTCAAGGGGTGTTCACAGCTAGGTATAAAGGACAGTTAGCTGTCAGTTGTATAAGGACAAACCTTCGAGACCTATTGGAAGTGGAGAAAGATTCCGATCGAAATGGCGCAAGGAACTTTTGGAACTGGCTGAACAAGCAGCCCTGGATGCAAATGCTTCCACCACCACGAGAGTAGTTTGGTTGCCCTAGCCCAACAGTGCTTGTTTAACAATAGATAGACAAAATGATCCTGCACGCTAAGGGTACATATAGTTCTGCAAGACATGGCCTTGGAAGAACGATGGTATATTGGTTCGTGGCACCTTCTCCTTCCCAGCGAGGTGTGGCTAGGCTCCATCTTCCTATACTTTGACAAACACGATGTGTACGCGGAGGTATAAACACAATTATACATATCGAGATGTCATGTTAAACCACCCAAGGTTTGCCACCATCTACAAGTATAGCTTCGAGCTTTTTCAGCAGCGATTTCTTGGCCCACCAGGAGTCTGGATCTTAATGATATGCCTAGTCGAGAGGCAATCCCATCGACCAAATATTCCTTTCCCAGGCGATTGAAAGCTTCTGGGAAAACATACGGCACACTGAGTTCTTCCGTCACCATCCAATATTGAGTGACCCTGCACCATACCTGCAATAGCTGTGCAAATGTGCATGCAACATGTCGCACGCTAGTTTTACATGATCGAGGCAACTGACTTGGCAAGATGTGTACCCATTGTGCTGCATGGGGATGACGCTGAGTCTCATCGTCGTCGGTACTTCACAGTCTGCAGCTTCGCCAGTGTCACTGTTGGTCATTGCTCTCCATGGGAGAACAGGTATGTGCTTTATTGCATAGATGGCAGCCGAACTTGCGACGCTTCGTATGATGGCTTGGATTCTTGGTTGGCCTGGTCATTCAAAGAGCTGATGCACGGTGAGTTTGATGACGCGGGCCCATGGGGTGAGGAGGTGAAGTGGAGAAGGGGCTGGCAGATGCACCAGCCTTTGGCTGGGGGGTATAGAGGGATCCTGTGCTTTCATCGAGGGGATGAAAAGTATTTGATCAAAGCTTATCATTTCAAAACGAATTGGAATTCCGAACGGGTTTGCTGGAGATGCGCAGCGAGTAGAGTTGCCAATTCTCCCATGCAGTATACCTACCATGGAAGGTCTGCGCCACATCGCAGTACCATGTACTCGTTGGAGAACTTTCTAGAGTTGTGCCATCCCAACTGCTGGACTTCCTTGCCGGGATTCCACCCATCTATGCTAGCTTTTGACCTCTTGCACATCTTTGACCTCACATTGCTCCCAGATGCTGCTGCATCGGTATTTTTGCTGCACCAAATTGCAAACACTAGCCAGCGCATACACCGCTGCAGTGGCACGCAGGTACTGTGTGCCCATCTCACTGAGGCACTGATTGAGCTGTCTTCGACAGATGAGGTATGGCAGGGAGCCAGCCAAGATGAGCGTCTTAGGAAGGCGCACATTGAGTTCACGCAGTTGTGCAAAAGCCACAAGATTCGTTCCTAGACTAATTCCATTGCGCACATGGATGCATCATGCGTATATTGTACTGGCCAGTGGGACTCACCTGCCAGTGGCTAAGGAAACAGAGGGAAAGTCTTTTCCGTGCAACTTGACTATGCAGTGGGGTTGTTGTCAGCACGGGGCTTCGCTTCATTTTGACTTTTGTTTCATCAAACTTTAGGCAGCAGATGGTCGGTGACAAGAAATCACATACATTTCCCACTCTAGCCCAGCGGCACTTCAATGGATCGGAACATGCCTCAGCTTTTTAAAGCACGCTTTTGGCAAGCTTTAGCTGGATGACGGGACTGATGCATGCTTTCGTACATGTGGCAGGAGAGCGTGATCTTGGCAAAATATATGATGGGCATCACTATTGCCCACGCTCAAGCGCATCCACAAGATGAGCATTCGCAGTGTCTTAGCACGTCTTAGCGTGTGGTTGCCCTTCTTACTACCAAGTTGCATGTATCTCTTGCTAGGCTTCGGGCCGCCGTGTTTATCAACGCGGTGGCCCTACGCGAGGCTACATCTTTGAGGTATGGCATGATTTTGCCAGAGATGAAGCTGAAGCAGCTCACCACTGCCAACTACCTATTCCATTCTTCGATTAATTGTGCCTCGTCTCATTGGCTGGGTGGCTGACCAGTGCTCTTTCGAAAGAATTTGATAATTAGTCTTTGGTAGAACCAAGGGCTGGCTGCAGAATCGATTGCGAACAAGAGGGCCCTATGGAAGCTACGTCCAAAACTTCATAAGTTACATGGTCGCATATGTTCACTTCTGTGGCATACCCTGGTTCTCTCCTAGATGGATAGCTATGTGCGCGTCGACTGTCTGAGGCTGGACCACCTGGCGCTAGATCTGGGACCTTTGATCTCACCCCTGTGGATCAGCACCTACGGGGACGAGGATCTCGTGCACTGGTGGCATTCATTTCGGCGTATATCTATCCTTTGTCAAACATGCACGTGTGCGAATACCTTTGTGTGGTGCTGAGGTCGGAAGGGTGAAGGATTTTGCCAAAATGGCAAATCCTCAACATTTGGGCCGGCAGGTTCTTTTGCGGTATGCAGCTTTCGTTTGCTGCCGGTGGCGGGGCCGGCTGGAAGCAAAGGAGTGACCTACCACATATCGATATGCTCTTTTAATCCTAACAGGTACCACAAACCCACCAACATCCGTGACCCTGACCAGCCGGGCCCGAGTGTCGCCTGGGCCTGAAAGATGGCCAAGTTGTCGAAGAAGCCGCGCTCCACGAAAGAAGGGTGGGGATGGAGTGGGAGAACCAGGTTTCTTGGAGGGGTGGAGGCACCAGGACTTGGTGGTCTAGTGCATGGGTATTTTTGGTTTCTTTCACTTTAACTAACAGAATGAATCTGAGTGAACACCATGATGTCCAAGTGTACCCTTTCGTCTTTAAGTGACCTTTATCGAGTCTAAGTGACCTTATCCAGCTGCTTCTAAGTGACTGTTTTTCTTTGATATTCTAAGTGACCCCTTGAAAGTGGTAAAATATCAAACGGTCACTTTGAAGCAGCTGGCTGTTTGTTTTTTTTTCTGCAGGGCCTAAACAGCTCATGTCTCCTTTGTTTTTTCTCAGGGCCTACAGCCTACAGCTCATATCTCCTTTTGCACTTGAGTCAGTGAGGGATCCGTCGAGTCCCCAACACCGACCTCCGACACAGCTCAAAACACACCAACGACGAGACCAGTCGTGAGTCGTAGAGCGAGGACCAACGACTGCAAGGAGTTCGTTTGGCCCTAGGATTCCTCTACTGAGGATTGTTTTACTACGGATTTGACACTCTACAAAACCAGGTCAAGAACGGAAGGTTCGCGCAGGATGTTCTAGGAGAATGTCTTGACTGCGGCCAGTGTGACCAAAAGGAATCAGGATCTGAACATGGTCACATGACCGAAGTGGCCGGTGCAAAGCGCAGGGTCCTTACGAGTCCTTCGCCCAAGTGGCTGCGTCTCATTGAAGTCGGGGAACCTCGGTCGTCTCCGCGAGACCGACGCGGATCCATCGAGCGAAAGCCACGAGGACGCGTGGGAAACCACGGTCTAGTCGACGAGCCGGAGCCGGCAGCCACCATGACACCACACCCGAACTCGGCCCGACGTCTTCGTACCGCGAAGCGCGAAGCAGTTGGGACGAGTCCTGGGGACCCGGGTGCCAGGGGTTCGGGTCCAGGAGCTACCGAAACCTCAGGAGGTACGAAAACGGAGGTGTAGGGACAATATATATCGTTCCCTGTTCCAAAGGTACCTGGACCCTCCTAGAGATCCCATCCCTTTGGTCATCGTAGGTGGGCTTGGTATGCCAGGTGACTCCTCTAGCCAGGTATGCCAAGTTCGTATTCGATCAGACTTCTCAGGGGAAGTGCTGAAGGGTAGGATGCTTTAAAGTCGCTGCACAAACAATCGAGTGCTGGAAAGAAACCTGCCATCTTGGTGCTGGATTGCTTGCAGCGTGGCGTTAGTAGAGTTGGTTTAAGGATATCTTGAAATTGGGACATCCATCGTTTTGAGGGTGAACACATCTTTAAAACGATGCTTGAAAAGAGATGTTCTCTTTCACACCCATCATGAACCCCCTGCAGAACTCTTTTCTACCTGCAGAAGGCCTCACAAACCACACCAAAGACTGCTTTGCACAGCCCCAAAACCCTTGTTTTTGCTGGGGTTTTGGATGGGACCCGTCGAAGCCTGTTGTGGAAGACCTGTGAGACCTTCCATCCTCTTCCTGCCGGCTCCGGATCCTCTGGTCCGCCGATGGCCGAAGCCGGTGGCCGAAGCCGGTGGCCGAATCCGGTGGCCGAACCCCCCCCTGTGTTGGTTCTTTGAGGTCATTTGGGGGTCCTCCTCCTGCAAGGTCATCTTCGCTGATAAGAAGAGGTGACCAACCCTGTTCTGGGTATACCTAGAAGATCCTTTGGGCAGAAATTCTTGCCTTTTTCGGGAAGAGCGGCTCTTCCCGTCCTGGGGCGGAAATCAGCTGTTTGCCGCGGAAATGTTTTTGTTGCCGCGAATATTCCCTTTCAGGAATCCAGTGAGACAAAGACTACATATTCTAGAGGAGTTGAATATTTTTGTGGTTTACATTGGGCATTTCTGCCTGGAACGGTCACCGCAATGAGAAAAAAACATTTGCAGCGCTTAAGTTTCCACCTCCACCTGCAAATCTGGCTACCACCATATCATATATTATGTGTCTTTGTTTTTGAAGGTTTCTTGTGCGGAATGATCACAAAAGGGCTAAAATCAGTCCAAAGTTGAAAACACCTGGCGCGAAAATGCCCGGGAAAAAGGCAGAAATACCCGGGAAAGAGGCGGAAATACCCGGGAAAACGGCGGAAATACACGGGAAACCGGCGGAAATTTCCTGGTAGAAGGCGGGATTCAAGAACAGTGCCTTTGATGCCTTTGAAGGGGAATGTCATGAATTTAGAAGTGTCAAAAGCGTAGGGTGTCAGATCTTGAGATGTGAAGCTATGCAGAACGATATGTGGTCTGCAATCATGGAAGAGACAACCTGGTAGGTTGTAATGGTTTTTGAGTTGCTATGTTGGATTTTGCTTGAGGCAAAAATTCCCTGCTGCCCGCGGAAATTCCTACCTGGCGCGGATTTCCCCTAAATCCGCGAATCCTCCCGGGCAAATCGGACTGAGGCAGAAATTTCTGCCCCAGGTGCTTCTAGGTATTGATGGGGAAGGGCATCTTCTGACTCGTGCGACTCGCAAGGAATTATTTAGTTAATCCAAAGCTGTCTCTGTTCAGGGCTAATGGCTAATGGTTGGATTTGAGTGGGACACTCCCGAACTCCCCAGAAGAAGGACGATCAAGGTTTCAATCTTTCCTACAGGCAGGAGCAGGACTAAAGGTTAAAGGATGTTAAAGGTTATCCATCTTTCCTGTGTACGGGTGGGGCTGACCTGGAGCTACAGCCTAGCTGCCTAGCAGCTGCCTAGCTACCCTGAACTGTTTGATGTGAGCAAACGTTTGCCTCCACGCACTGCATTCGGGGCAGCAAACAGGCCCTGTAAATAACCATCCGATTTCGGGACGCTTTTGAACCCTTTGGGCTTGACGAGACATGTATAGCGATGCCATGCATAGAAAAACCTGATGACTCCTGGGATAAAGGTAGATGTGGAGACACTTGAAAGATCGTGATGCTCGAAACATTCTGGAAACATGTGCTAATGGTCCTAGTCATGATCCAACATTAAGAACATGCATTTGAGATTTCGCCCTGCATTGCAACATTCAGTTGATCCGGTGGTCAATCAAACATATTCATGCAACCTTTCAATTCCCTAATGAAAAAGTTGTACCTTCTCAGAAGGTACTTGGACCCTCAAAACCTACATAAGAGTGTCTCCAATCACCTAACCGGAGAAGGTACGACTGGATCCCTAGGGATTGTCTAATTGTTCTAGGCCTAATCCTTGCTACAAGCTTCGTCAACGCCCAGTCAACCTTGTTGAAACATCGATCTCAACCGAACGACATGCACACTTTCTCGAACACAGCCCAGTCCCAAGCAGTTGTCAGTCTATACAGTTACAGTACAAATCCTAAAACATAGCAAGGAACATGGTCATGTTCTTGGATTGGTTGATATTCCATCATATTCCATCTACTCCATGGTGCTTGTAAATGTTGACCTTCCCTGCCTTTTTGAGCCTTGGAGCTAAGAATTGAGTTCCACTAGGTTCGTTCCACCGTGTCTCATCTTCTGCACCCATTTATAGCGGCACAACATGGCGGCACCCATCCCTGTGACCCTATCCACCCCAACCAAGTCCAGTATGACCCGGTCAAAGCCCCTGGTCGACCTTGACCTCCTGTTCCTGGTGTTTTTGGACCAGGCTCCAGGTCGAGCCTGACCTGCCATCCGAGCACACCCATCCCAACCGACCTTTTCGGTCCCGGGCCTCACGAACATAGGATCGACCGCTTGGAACTCCACCGAAGGCTCCCAGAACATGAACAACACGTCTCCTGCCCACGTCTTCGGAGAGCAGCGAGATCGAGCAAGGCGGAGCGTGGGTGGGGAGGGGTCGCAGAAGTGGAACCGGAAACAGCGCAGGAGAAATGCTGATTGCTGCGACTCGACTCGTGGAGAATGAGGGTGGCTGGATCCTAAGGTATCTTTAGTGGAGGGCGACGCTCATTCCCTGCTTTCGTCGCACTAGTCAGAAGAAGATGGAGGGTGGGGAGGGTGGGGAAGGGACGATCTTTGGTTTGATCTTTTTGGTCAGGCATACGGCATCCTCGAGCAACACATATTGATGTTTTCAATGTTAACAAGTTAATTCTTTTGCGGGGATAGGAAGGGAAGGTTTGTTTTTGTTGCTTATTATCCCTGGAGGCAAAACATAACATGACCCTCTGAGCTCTTCTGCTGGTGAGGTTCGACATTGGGAGGATCGGGGTACATCTACATGCTCTCCACTGCTTAGGACCCCCCAGGCTTCCAACCACCATTGATTCAATAGCCTGAATCTGAACCACTGTTTGATTTGACTTAAGGATTTGACACTACCAAACCAGATCAGATCGGGTCCGGACCTGAAGACGGGACAATAGCTCTCAAGCAGCTATTGAACATGCTCATGTTATACTCAAACCATCCGTGGAACTCCTTGTACCCATTGTTGGAAATACTTTGAGGGTCTAGGTATATTAGAGTGTATAGTATAACTATTCCATCTACACGGATGATCTGGCATCACTTCAGTGATGAGCTCATTCTATAAGATCCCCACTGCCTTCCAGCCGCAAAGCTCGAGACACCAAACCAAGGCGCTTTGTGAGAGCACCAAGGAGGAAAAGTCCGAGGAGCCGTTGTAGTGGGCCACACCCAAGGCCAGTGGCATATGCCAAAATGCGGCCTGAAGGCACACAATTCTGGCATCAAATGCATGTGTTTGGAAGAGATTGCGCTTTGCGCGTGCGTTCTTCCCCGGTGATGACGTGCATGTTCCACCGTCAAGCGTGCCAGGATGTCAAACTTTCAGGAAAGAAAGGGCTCCCTCCAAAAAATACCCCTTGCACTCGAGAAATTCACCATTCTATGGACATAAAAGCCTGAGAAGGTGGTAGAAGCAAGGTGCAAATTGGTTGTGAGTCCCAACGTGGAGCCCCAAAGCCTGGGAGGTTCTCCCAGGTCGTCTATTCTGTTCATTCTTGGTGGTCAACCAAGGTCCCTGGATTTTGACCCTAAAAATGGGTACAGGCGGACTTGCTTTTGTTCTGGTCTTGTCCCATTTTCTAGGGTACTTTGAGGGTCCTGTTATGTCCTGTTGTTGTTGTTGTTGTTGTTGTTGTTGTTGTTGTTGTTGTTGTTGTTGTTGTTGTTGTTGTTTGTTTTCCAAGATCCTTTGTTGGAGGAACAGTACGGAACGGTACCAAAGTCTCGTACTTCTTGGAATTTCGGTTACTTTTTGAGAACTACACGGGGCCTGCGATGAGCAATTCCCGTCCACGCGCAGCTTGAACCCTGTCATGAAATGAACCCGAACCCTTCTAGCCGGACCTTACAAGAAGTGTCTACCAGCAGTCACAAAGGGGTGCTTAATGGAGGTTAGGGGTGCCCATTATCCACTCACTTGGGGACCAAACACCACCCCTTTGTGACTCCTGGTATAAATAGCCTCTTTGAGGTTAAGAGGTGTCCCAAAACCACCTGTTGGAAGGTCCTGGTAGCTCACCGCGAAGCGCTTTTCTCCAACCCTAACACTCCACCATCTCCCATGCCTGAACTGATCCAACCGCGCACTCTGAACTGATCCCCATCTTTTTGCCTCGAACATCACGTTGGTGAGCCTTTTTCCAGCGTTGGGTGTCACCAATGTCACCAATCCCCCGCAGGTTTTCCACTGTTCCAGTCGGACCACGTAGAACCTGGTTCGACCTTGACTTATTTTGAGTACTGTTGCCTTTCCCCGATCCAGTCGAGGTCCATTGACCTCTAGGGCTGGGTATAGGCGAAGAGGGTGGCATTGTCTTGCTGCATTGCTACTAGTAGTAAGGTGCCTTACTAGTAGTAACAAACTACTGGTAGTAAGGCACCTTGTTACTAGTAGAAATGCACTTGGCACTTAGCTACTATAGATCAGCACGATCCGCACCCCACCGGGCCTTCTGCATCACCTCCTCCGCAAGAATCACATTGTAGCCTTGCAGTGATAGGACGCACAACATGACTAGCTGAACTTGATAGGGCTATCACAAACTATGAGACACCTGCAATGCATTTTTTTTTTTGAAAGATCCGATGTCTTAATGCCACACAGCTGGCACCTCACAGCCACCAAGAAAACACAACATGCAGTCTATCAAAATACATGGAGTCTCAAAGTACAAATACCTTCTCAGTTCGTACCTCGGAAAATGGGTACGGTCGTACCAGTTTGTTATAGGGTCATGTCCCATGCTCTACTTCGGAGGGTCCAGGTAGCAATGAACCATGTTGAGCAGATGTGGAATCACCATGAAAGCCAGCTCTTTCGGCCATGCTCCAGCAAAATTTGCAATCAACATGCTTAGGGATCTCAAAGTACCCTATAGAAAAATTAGAACCTTCCATCACAATCACTTTCCAACATCACCGTCACAAACGCATCCATTCTCCGAGGTTGAACCCAACAAAAACAGCTCCTTTCCCTAAGCTTTAAGGGTCCAGGACCATCCTGAGGATGTCCTTTGACCCCCCCAAGACCATTCTCTGGAAGTACGTACTCACCTTCAAGACCATCCGAAGTACGGAGGTACCTGGACCCTATGGGTTTCATTTCTCCAGCTCGGTCGCTGAATTCGTCCTGGCCATGTGAACGTCGTTTCCGGTCGTTTCCGGTCGTTTCCGGTCGTCCGCCATGGCACCACTTGCGGAGCCCGTCAAGCAGGGGAAGCAGTCCGTGCTGTTCCGGCACGCGGGCGCCAGCCACCAAACGTCACGCCAGCAGCGAGGACCTGAGGTCGAGCTCCAGTCTCAGTGCGTGAATCGATGTGTGCAGGGTCTCACGCCATCCAAATTCGTTCTTGGAAGTATAAAAAAGCCTTTTTGGCGGGCCTTGGAGCTGCTGGGCAAAGAGCCTTTGAGGTTTGAACCAAGATCACAACACAACATGCTTGAAGGCCAAGGGTGGTCATTTGGGACGCCTGTCTGGCTTATCCAGCTGCAGGGCATGTCTTTGGCATTCCCACTTTTCCACATACTGGCACTCAGGTGGAACAACGGTTCTGACCTCCTCAGCTTTCCTGCAAAATCACGGTTAAATCCCTAGGGCTCCTGTCCCATCTCCTCAGGTTCGGTGGGCACAGACCCCCCTGGCACCCACCCCAACCACCGAACCGAAACGGAGGTGGGCCAGGAGCCCTAGGGAAACTAGTATGTTAAAATGGTCTTGCAGGTTATCAACTTTTTCTGGGTAGCGTCGAGGTCGGACTGGAAGTGGTAGATTTAGATGAACCATTTTTGCTCGGCCTCCAATCTCACACCGATCTGGTTGGGTTCCAAAAACCGAGCTGAATTCATCTATATACACACTCCTTGAAATAGAAACATGGAAGTGAAATTCACCACAAAATTTCACTTGGCCTTCGAAAAATGGTCATCGAAAAGGCCATGCCATGCATTTCCATGATTGTTTCATGGAGCATATCCTTCGGTTTTATTCCATGTGCCAAAAACAGAATCGGCAAAAACTCCCTTCTCCCCCAACAAAGCTCAGTGAATGCCATGCCATGCAGGCGCAGTTGTTGTTTGACATGGACCAGGTCACCCACCCAGCACCAAACCCCGAAAAAAAGAACAGTCCAAATGAACAACATGGACTACAGCAGCCGGATTGTCAACCATGTATTGCTTTTGGAGGATATTGACCCGCATCCGCATCTTTCAAAAGGTCTTCTCTTGCAAAGATCAAATAGGAAATCCCTAGGAGAACACTCCTTGCATAGATATCAACTCCGATTTCGCTGGAGAGCGATCTGTTCAAACGGTTCTACGGTTCTCTCTGCATCAATAGACTTCAGAACGTGTAACACCATACCCAATTCCCATGCAATCTGATCGACGCACTCCATCCACTGTGAACCTTAGACCTGCACGGCGGCTTCCACCGCGCTCCGAACACGCATGCGCGGTTGAGGGAAAGCAGCACGTGATGGATGGCATGATGAAGGACAATAAGAGGATGGTTGATCAAGAAGTGCTCAGATTCACGTGTTTTTTCACATGTATATCCGCAAAGTACAGTACCCAGACAAGGGTACAATTGTCTTCATAGGGCATGGGGTCTTGTCCCAGTGCAAAGAATGTAAAAACTGAGCCAGACCTCCTGAAAGAAGGAAATACATGGAAATACTACATCCAATCTAGATGGTCTCCGTCATCTTTTGCAATTCCTCAAAATCGAAGAGAGCCTTAACTATCAGTGGGATGTCATGTTCTTTTCCACTGATTCCAGTAGATCAACCAGTAGATCGGTGCTTGATGGAAGGACTCACAGCTGCATTCCCATTTAGACCACCACAAGTTGGTTTTAGTCCTTTTTCCAAAGGGTTGTGTTGTTGGATGTGTTCTTTTCACAGCAACAAGCAAGGGGGAAACAAACGAACCAACGAGAACGGTGCGATTCTGCTCGATGGATCTGTCGCACGTGGGGAGGCTCTGTTTCTACCGACTCTCACAGTCAAATGAGTCAATGTTTGGTTATACATGTCAAATCCCTAGTTAGTTGCTATTACTATAGTCTTCCCGATGACCTCTTTTCCTGACATCGTCTTCTATGTCCGACAATCACTTTCCACTGACACCCGAAGCATTGAACGCAGTCTGTCTGACCCGGCATGGACAGGTGCTTTCCTCGCATCGACCCAAGTACTTCACACCCAAACGCTCAGGCTAAATGCATTGCATATTTACCAAAAAGAACACTGAAATCAATCCCAATGTATGGGATTTCAGTCCATACATGTGTTTGAAGACTGTATGAAGACTACTGCATGCCACACGTGTCCAACAAATCAATTCCCATCGATTCATATCGAATCAACAGTGACACGTTCTCATCCTCTTTGGAACCCACAGGTTTAGTTATCCCATTACCAGCTATAGTTACCAAACGTTACCGACTGTTACAGGTTAGTAGGACAAACCCAAGGTATATATATAGTTGTGAAACATGCACAGACTGTTTCTAGGTTTGTGCTGCATTTCATACCATCCCGAGTGCTCACATTGATCTATACCCGTTCGGCCTCCAGTCGTACCTCCGAAACGGTTCGGTATGGCTGGACCCGACCAGGGCACCCACCCCAGTCCCACCGAACCTCAGGTTCGGTACGGCTGGAGGTCTAGGGTATATAGGTCCTATATAGGTTGGTCCCTTTCATTTTCCCAAATGACAGACTGCCCGGTAAAAGACAGACTGCCCAGTCTCCACATGCTCCCTAGTTGGTGGTCTGCAAAATGTAGGATCAATGGTCCCAAATCACAATCACACCCAGGTCCAGCTTTGTCAGGTATTTCCAACCAGATCGCGCCTTCAAAGTCACCCGTGAGCGCGGCGTAGCGCGTGAGATACTCCCCGGGTTCCATGGCCCAGGCATCGCACGAGATCAGGGCGCCCTGCCGGACGTCGCGGACGACGGAAGGCCGTTCGTTGTGCGCGGGATGTGGGAACGGCGCATGTTGGGTGTCGAAAAGAAGAGGGAAGCACCGGTGGATGAGACGAGGCGCAACGGGTAGGGGGGAGGAGCGATGATGATAGCTATAGGTTGGGAGGAATCAGTGGTTGGCTGTCTTGAGCACCAGTGGTCTTGAATCAGGGCACACATTCAAGAAACATCGTACTGCTAGGTGTTCAATGATTCCCTGTGAAGCTAAATGAAGAGAAATTCAATAAAGAAAACATAGATCAGCACATGAGTAGCACATGATCACACATGCACTTCTGTGCCTTCGATGTTATTGCTGGGGCCTCAAAACCAGTTTTGGAGGCTCAAACGGTGGAATTCCAAGCAGTCACGTCAGCAACTGTCACTAGCTCAGCTCAATTTGTGTGCTTTTTATCCAAGCTCCATGGTTCAAAGCACGATGGCCTCCAACCTTATAACAGGGATGTGTTTATCCAAGCTCCATGATTCAAGCCATCTTCTCCGCTCAAGTTTGAGATCTCCAAACATGCGCCGCGAGGGTCGGGTCAAATGTGTAGCAACCCTCGTCCTTTAATTGCACAAAATTCTCGCATGTCTCTTTTCAAAGCAGAGGAACATGATGTGTTCCGATTTGCACTGAAGATTCCTCCGAAATCCACCAAACCACCGATCCACAACGGGTTCGGTATACCACCCGTACCCAGATACCGATGTGGCAGGCGTGTCGAACACATCCACTCCATGACGGAGGGACGACATTAGCGGGTCCAAGGCTCCGGCAGGGAAGGGTGGGACCGTCCCCAATGGGATGTTCTATGGCTTATCCTCACTGCGAAACCGGCACCCTTTTGGAGCGGTAGGGCGTTTTTTCTTGTGCCAGGGTCGGGTCCAGTCACACCGAACCGAAGCGGTTCGGTACGACTGGAGGCCTAGGAAACCTTGTTTTTTCCTAGGAATAGTCGTTCCAAGGTGGAGACTCTACTGGCTCTGTCGCCACCCACTGAATCCGGCAGGATTCCCACTGGAAGCAACATGCTTTTTCATTATAACAATACATCATAATACATCCACCTGGACCCTCCAAAGTACCTGAATGAGAAAATGGAACATGATCTGAACAGAAAAAGCTAACCCCAAGACCCCTAAATAGTGCCATCTACGCCCCCACATTTTTGGTGGTACTAGGCCAAGGCAAGTCTTTTTGGGGCTGTATGGGGCTGTTCCACATCTCTATAGGTATCACCTCTACCAACCCCTGGCCTCCAGGTCTTCCAGGCGTCGAAAGAAGCGCTGCGGCTGGTGATAGCGGCCATCATAGCTCCCTGGTCGGGCGCGCCGCGTCGCGGCGCCGGGGCAGATCAGGATGAATCGGCTGGGAGGCCAAAGAGTCGGACCCAAACGCAAACAAAACCACTCGGAACCATCATAGATGTCATAAGCAGTAAACATGCCAATGGGCCAATGATGACGCATATATTGGACAATGGGTCATATATTTCATGGACTCCTGACATCTCGACGAAGCCACATGTTTCACGCTGGCTACACGCAACCCCATCATCACAGCTTTCATCGCAGCAAGGCGTTTGCCCCCAAACCCTGTCTGCCCAGATGCTCCAAGCAGCCCAACAGGTCCCTCAAAACCCAAGGATTGGTGAGAAACCCCATTCGGGTGCCCAATTCGCGTCTGGGTGGAGCATTTTTCCATGTCTTTCCTCTTTGGCGTCCAGGTGGCTCCAGTCATCCAAGAAGAGGGGAGAGTCATCTTCCAGTGCCCGTTGCACTGTGGCACGGGAGATCATCAATCCGGTGGAGCTGGGCGTGCCCATGTGGCCCAGATCCTCCTCGGGGGGAGAAGGGACGGGGGAATTCGATGTCCAACCCGTAAGGCGTTTCGTTTAGGTGGGACTGGGGACCCGGGTGGATTTGGAGGGTCCAGTCATACCTTCTTGTAGGGTTTGCTTGCTTTTCGGCGCGCTGGGTAGGCAGGGCAGGTGGGACTGAGCGGGTCAACTTGGGATCTGCCTCGGAGGTGACTGAGGGATCCAACAGTGGAAATTACATGGGATGGCCATGTGGCTGCTCAAACTAACATGTGGGGCTGATCTGGAATCCAATTCATTTCTCGATGCGTTCCCAGCGAATTATACGAGCTACTGTATCGCCTCAAACATGTCCAGACAAATATATTATATGTTCTCTATTCAAGGTTTCATCCAAACTCGACCATGTCATGTGCGACAGGTCAAGTGTGAAAAACAAACCCCACATCTGCTTTAATGGAAAAAGGACAGGAGAACCCGTGGCGGATGTCCGTTCACGATATCGACACCGAGCATCCAGCATGCCGCCAATCTTCAGGCGTTGCACACGTGCCATGTGGATTTGGCTAGTGTTGGAGACGTGCAAGCCTGGCATGACGGTCTGACCACACGGCTCGAGTGGTTGTGCTTTGGATAATTATGGGATGAAGGATGAGGGGACTGGCAGTGTCAAAAGATGTGAAGAGTCTCTCTGGCCTTGTGCTGTCATTGAAACGCTCATGAGCTGCTGAAGGCATCCTTTTCCCAAGCACCTCCAGCTCTTCAGCTAAATCCCTTCGCCCAGACGTAAAGAGCCCTCACCCTCCAAAGTGTTTTCTTCCACATACCCAGACACTCCATGTATGGAATTATACAGCCGATATAAATTCACCCCCAAAACCACCAATGTATAGGCAGTATGATATGACAGGATCATTTTTCGAAAAGGGCTGATATGGCGTAAATTCCCTCGACTTCTTTCACCTGGTGTTGGCGCAACAGCGATCTGCCGTTTGTGATGATGATGGAAGCCAAAGAAAGCCACCGCCCTACCTCACAAACCTATATTCATAAAAGTTCCCCACCCCAAATCTCTCCAAATCATTCCATTTCCCAGCCGGCTTGTCGGCTTCTTTCTGCCTAGAGAGACATGAAAATTGCTGGGCTTCCCAGTGCAACTTTGATTCATCCTCAGATGTCGCTCGCTCTCAGCTCGATCTGGCAGGGCTTTCTGTCTGCCGGTGTTCCGACCTCTTAACTTTGTTAGGGGAGTGAAACGGAACACAGAAATGCGCGATTGTTTCATGGGATTCCGGCTGAGAGGGTTCTTAGTGTTTTTTCGGCGTGTGAAAGTTCGGTGCAGCTCAGCATAGTATCGCAGGCGTGGATGTGAACATATACCACCAAACATATACCAGCACCCCCAGTCGGGGTGGTTCATGGACACCCCGAACAAAACAGCTTTTGGCTATAAATAGACACCCCGAACGAGTCGGGTGCTGGTATTGCTTCCTATTTTCCCTAGGGCTCCAACTACCTCCTGAGAAGGTGGTTAGACCCCCCCAAACCCACCCCAACCACCTTCTCAGGAGGTAGTTGGAGCCCTCTAGGGTTTCCAACCTTCCGAATTGAAATCAATCATGTTGAGTCCGAAGGGACCCCTTTGGCAGATGCTCGGCCGAAAACCAGGAGCCGAAGTCCGACCCACACGCCCACCATCAGCCGTGACGTCATGTCGGATCATCACTCAAGAGGTTCTTCCAGAAATGGCGTATACAGTATCAATCGACTTCGCAAAGCCAGTCAAAAACAGAATCCCTTCCAGCACGTACGAATGTAGGGGTGTCCATTAATATAGCCCCGAAAAGATGTGATTCGGGGTGTCCATGAACCACCCAACTCCTGGGGGTCCAGGTGTCCAGGCTAGGGCGCCTATGCAGCCTCCAATCACCTGACTCAATGAATGGGTTTTCAGAAAAAAAAATCTGTTTTCACTGGCAAACGCATCAAATTCTATCGTTTTCACCTTCAATCATTTGGCCTCTAAGACGATGTTTGTTTGTTTGGGTGGAACATCCTTACTCAGCTTCTGCATTTTGGAGGCAAACACACCACCCCTTTGACCAGATCCTTTTGCCTCCAAAAACGCACATCGTTCAGAACCGATTCAAACCAAACACCTGGGACGATGCAGCTCTCTCTTGACCTCACCGATCCGCGCAGTGCATGGCCTTCTCTTGCCGAGCGGCTCGTTCTCAGGCTCCTCGCAGCCGGCCAGCGCGTAGTAGACGTGGTTCATGTTCCCCGCGTAGCGCGGCGTCACGGCGACCCGATACCCGAGGATCTCCTGACGACGCAAGACGGGAGGATCCGAAGGGGGGCGATTCATCTGCCCAGAGGCGACCCCGGGCCCGAATCCTCGGGTCAGGGTGGTTTCGAAAACCAATCCCGATCGGTTTGGAGGGACCAGGAAAGGGCTGTGAACGAAGCGTCTGGGTGATCCTGCAAAAAGGGGTGTGTCCTGTCTGGTCAGATCCCTTCTCTGGCTGGGTTTTTTCGCTCCTAGGGTGGAGGCGGCTGCTTAAGCGCAGGATCTTCCAGCGTGACCCCACACTGTTCACGGAGGCTCCTTTCGTCCGATCGGTTTTCCACCCACGGAGCGCGGGTGCGTTCTCGAAGGACGGCCATGCAGACGTCCGTCTTCTGGTTCTGTCGTCTCAAAAGCCTTCAAAAGACACATGGTTGTTGGGGGGAAGAAAGAAGAGTATAACGTTAATTCTGCCCGCCTATAAGACTCCGGGCCCTCGAATGTGAAGGGTTTTTGAGTTTTGAGAATCCGGACCCCTGTGGTGTCGGGTCCGACCCGTGCCATGGAGCCCTATACGGATATCCGGGTGGCCATGGTTCATGAACTGGGGAACCAGCGGCAGCGTAGACGTGCGAATCCTAAGAACCTGACATGTTCATGATCCTCAACCTGTGAATCCTTTGCTTTGAGTCATGTTGGAACTTTTTGGGGGGACGAGAAAAAATGTCCAGCACCCGGACCACTTCCCACATCACAGGCTTTGGACCCGACGGCGAGGATTGGACATCTTCTGTGGGGTCCTTGGACAAACCTGTTCTCTTCGCCTTCAGCTGGATTTCCTGAAATCCATTCATATTGGGTGATGGGCCAGGGGCGGTGCATGGCACTTGCCCACCAGGTCTACCTGGTGGACCGGCCCCCGCCGGACCGGAAGGTCCACCGAGGGGCGAGCGCCGGGGTAAGAAGAAGAAGTCGGTCGAGCCGGTCGAGCCGGGAGCGTTGGTCGAAGGTCGACCAGACAGGTCGGTCGTATAGCTTATAGAGACCCTAGGGATCCAGTACCTTCTCAGGTACGGTGATGTGTTCGGCACTGTTATGTAGGTTTGGAGGGTCCAAGTACCTTCTGAGAAGGTACGACTGGATCCCTAGGGAGATACATTGGGTCTTACCGACCAGAAAGAAATGATGATAAGGTAAAGGCCTGCTTCAATCATGGTGTTCTTGGTCGCTGACTGTTGCAAGATGTTACGGGTAATAGAGGATGCGTCCATATATGTACAGTGCCCCCCCAACCAAAAAAAAGGTGATTCGGACCTGGGAACACATGCACCGGTCGACCGTGGTGTGTGATGCGGTTTGTTGGACCCGGTCTGCAGTGCGCATGGCGTTCCTCACGTGGAAACTACGAGCGGTTTCACGAACTTCCCTATAGTCACGTCGCGGGTCACGAACTTGAGGTCCACGAATTGGTGGGCTTCGGTCCTGGTGCTTCAACACTCCATCTACCAAAAAAATTTTGCGGTGACCGAACTCTTTCGATCCTTTGTCGAGGTCACGAACTCGTTCGGTCAGACCCCTCCTACATCAGCAATAGTATCCTCCAATCAAAACAGCTGTGAGGCCAGCGTTTTGACATTCAACGCAACAATTACGCAACATAGATAACATATACAAAAAGAACAATAAACACCTACCAAAATCTGTTCACCACCCAACCTGGACACCAAACCAAGCGCCACCACCGGTCCTCAACCAGGATCTGTAAGAGCGCCACTGGAGTGTCCACCTGTTCACTCCGCCGAACCGAAGTCCAACGCTCTCTCTCTCTCACGGAGGAAGCCGGTGCGGCTGAGTTGTGGGTCTCCGCAGTACCCGGACTGCATCAACCAGTCGCTCAGTCCCAGTCGCGTGTTCGGGTCACCACGTCACGTGACGGCCGCTTTTGGCCACGCACGGAAAAGGCGGTGGCTTCTCTGGTCAGCACAAAGCTGCATTGGAGCTAAAAGCCGACCGTGCGGTCTGCCGGACATTTTTGACACCAAAACACCCAAAAGTGTTCCGGATGTGCCGGCGACCTGTAGGTTGCATCTGCTGCGACAGCTTCCACACTGTGTGGATTTTGATCACAGAAGCCCTTCCAAGTCTTTAACTTGAAGAAGCTGCTTCAGTGCCAAATACATTGTCGGAACCACATGAGCTTGCCTTTTTAAACATTGCGGCGCTCTGTGTGATGGTCATCGGGTGGCCCCAAAACAAGTGTATGTCACCAATCATTGCATTTTACGGGCGTTGAATTAACCACAACTTCAACAAGGTGGGGTTCTCATCTGTGTGTGGCTCAGAATCTGTCTAGGACCCTTCTGTTGAGGACACTTCCTCAGTGGTTTTCTCTGCGCAACATCCTTTTATCAAGAAGTGACCGTTGGTGTCTGATAATTCTTGAGCCACACTCACGCAAGCACAAGAGTTGGGGCCACTCAAAAAAAAAAGCGCAGGAGAGTGGGAGTGTCCTGGGAGTGTACTCTCTTTCTGATTTATGAGTGGTTCATAGCTTCTAAAACTTGCACTCTCATTATCTCATGTACTTGTTCCAATGCATCTGTTCTTGAAGTCTTGTGCTCTTCTGCGCAAGAAAAAAAACAAAACATAACTAACAAAACAGTTGACAAGCAACAATACAGCAAAACACATATATGTGTAACGATCCCTGCACTCTTTGACTCTTTGGTGGGGGCCTGAAGTCAAAATCCTTGCGGTTTCTTGTCGGCTGCTCAATTTAATATATTATATATTGTGTTGATTGTTTTACAGTTGTCAAGTCATTTTAGTATATAAGCAACTTTCACAAATGACATCAAGGCACAGGACAGTCACCCGCTTGAGGATGTATTCATCCATCAGTGGTTCCACTCCGGTGGTCCCCCGGGAAGAACTCATATGAAACCATTTTAGACTCTCCGCACCCGAACACCTGGGCCTTTTTTGGCCCAGTCTCACACCATGGCGGACTGCGTCTTCTCTTGATCCGCCGGTGCGACTTTGGGTACGGAGGCGCTCTCCGCGGCTGTGCCGGGCTTCTCCGGCTCGGCGCTGAAGCTGTTTTGGCTCCTGAGGATTTTTTGAACTCTACGGCTTCACACCATGGAAGCATATGGAAGGTGGCACCTGCTTTAAAAAGAACAGATTTTGACGTCTTTTGTTGTTTTCCGCTTGGATGAGCATGTGGCCTGGATGAACATAGGTCTTCAAGTCCAGCTCAAAACACATGGCTTCACCCACGTATCTACTCAAGATAAAACAAAAAGAAACATCTTATACGCGTTCACAAACGCGTTCCCTGTTATATGAAGAAAAACACATCATCGATGTAGCAGTTGCATCAAGTTGCATCCGGTAGGATCCGGTGGGCTTCCACAAGTTTGACCCTTTTCTCAGACCTGGCCCGGGTCCTGTGCTCTCCGGACCCTGTGCTCTCTCTCTCTCTCTCTTCTCAACCAGGTCCCTTCCGACCGCCTTGACCGGCTCCTGGTGGTCCGTTGTCCTGTAGCAATCCGACGGCTGGAGCTCTTGCGCGATCCATCGCCCACGGCCATGTTCAAGTCATCCGCCAAGATGTTGATGGCGCGCATCACGGTGCTCAGGTCATAGACCGAGAGCTTGCCAAGGTCAGAGATGAAGGTCTGCTCTTTCCCCTGTCCATCCTGATTGTTTGGCTCGTTCGGCGAAGAAAGGCTCATACTAGAAAAAACACGCATCTTTCCACCAAAAACATGCATCAAGGATGTGGTTTGGAGCTTTGGATGACTCTTGAGCCCTTGATCCCTCTACAAAGAAAAAAACATCCGCTGAATTCTGAGTCCAGTCTCCTCCTTGATGAATGTGGCCACGTCCAACAAGCTTTGAAAGACATCTTTCTCCTGCAGCTTACGCAGCCCGCGCCCGGAAACGACACTATACCACATAAAAATAGCCTAACTGAGCCAAACGTGGATCTGAACTCAGGACTCAGGACCATCCAATGTCAAATGTGCTCCTATGCATGGACATGCTCTCACACGCAAAAGCTTGAAAAAGGCATCCAACCGGGACATCGCGAAATTGTATGGGGTAGGGGGAACATGGAAACACCCATGCGCAGCTTTTGTCACTGTCATTCTCCTCTGGCACCTTTCCAAGGTTCATGATCCGAAGTTCCTTAGAGCTTCCCAAGGCCGAGCGATAGCAAAGCGCACAGAGGCCGAGCATGACCATTCCCGCCAGGATGACGACCATCAAGGAGGAGATCACCGTGCCGAAGACTGCCAGAACACGTGCAGCATCCTCCCCACTGTTGTCGGCATATCCAAGTGACCCTGCCAACAGCATGACGAGAAGCGACACTGACATTCCATCCACCAAGTTGAGGACTGGAGACTTCCAAGGAAGGAACCACAGCTGAAGGCACAAAGATCCAAGGAGAATCATGTGCATCAAGGTGAGTTGCAAGCTGGGCATGTTCGTTGCAATGACTCCTGGCATCGACAACAAAGGCCCTCGGGCCAAGAGGACCAAGCCGAAATACCACACATTGGGCCTGAAGCGGAAGATCAAGAAGCGAATCGCTGCCAGCCTCGCCATGCACACGATTTCACCACTCAAAAAAAACACGTTCGTGCGTGGATTTTCGCCGGCACTTGCCCTCTTGATCCACTGAATTGCCTTCAAAGCTCGAGTTGCGTTCTCTTCGGGGTTCCCCCCCAATTTCCATCCCCCCAAGAGTACACGAACTCTCTTCAGATCGCCGTGGCAAGACTGGTGAGACTGACCAACAAGTCTCGCCTGGGTTTGCCGGACCAGCGTGGTGCTTGGTAGGCCGCGTAGCAGGCCGCCGCGAAGAAGCTGAATGCCAAGAACAGCACCAAGCCACCAAAGATGCGCATGATGATCTGAGCAGTTGTTGTTTGTTTCAAGTATCAAGGAATAGGGTCAATCTATATCCAGTCTAATTACAAAAATGTCCAACGGTCCAGCAAGCCGTTTATTTGCTTGGGCTGTTCCATATTTGTTTAAGTATAACATCAACCTTGTTGACAATGAAACAATGTCTTGGTATCACATATTATCATATGAAACGCCGGGAGCCCAGGCCATCGGTTGCGTTGCTCCAAACTTGATCTACTTCAGACAGACTCTATATAGAGATGTTCTGCATGTGGCACTGTTTTTGATTGCTGGCCGAGAACACGAAAACACCAGACAACTCCAAAGCTTGCGCAACTTTCAACCAAAGAGCGTGCTCCTCTGTACCGCAAAAGACGTTGGGGTATTTCAAGATGCTCTCTTGATTGGTTGGGTGGCGGTAGCACATGAACGGCATAAGCCCCACGTTGCACATCGTGGTGAAACCCACCTGCAAAGTCGGTGACACGACCCCAGGGCATGCTTTCAGTGACGACTTTTAGTACCGTAGGGCTCCAACCACCTCCTAAGAAGGTGGTTGGGGTGGGTTTTGGGGGTCTAACCACCTTCTAAGGATATGGTTGGAGCCCCAGGAGTATATATATATATAATATACTCAAAGTGTGAATGGGGAGAACTGCTGATCACACCAAAACTGCCAATGGCCTACTTTCAGGAAAGGGAAATCTCCTGCGTCACCCGACCACAGCCATGCCCCTGAACTCCCTGGAAGTTCACCGCTTTGGCGACGAAAACACAGCTTCGTTCAGCACGAACGTTCGTCCGTAGCAAGAATGCAAGTCGTCTGAAAAGCATCTACTGTGCACCAAAACAAATCATGCACAAGTCAAGAAGTAGTAGAGAACCTCTCCAAAAATCAATCATGAATCATGGCCCGAGACAACAAGCTTGCCGCACCTGTAAGAACTGGCCAAGGGTACTGATGGTCTTGTTCTTCTCCCATGCAAGAGACCGGCGCTTCATAATTGGAATGAAGTTCGTCAGGAAGCCCACAGTGGGCAAGGACACAACGACGATCCAGAAGAAGGACGCCGTGCTCACATATCGCGCCACGTTGCCGCCTGCAGCACAACTCAAGCCAAGAGCATCAAGGTTGAAGGTGAAGACTGAAGCAAAGTTCAGGAGGTCTCGCAAGCCAGCTGGCCATTCAACAGCAACTGTGTTCAAAACCCCAAGGTTTTGAAACAAGGCGATCAACATTCCCAAAGCAGCCGTCGTGCTCATCATCACGCTGGCTTTAGCCGTATAGCTGCTCGTCAGCATGTAATATGAGCCGCACACTCCGATCACAATGATGATCACACAGAAAGCCCATGCAACTGGCACTGCCCCACAGGGCTGGCATTGGTCCGAAGCCCAATAGTGCCCCTCTTTGCAATCACCACATGTGAGACCTTCTCGGTCTCCAAAGCATTCGCCTGGAGCACCACCTGGGCAAACGAGTTCCCCCGCACACTTGTAGGTGTCAAGAGGGGCGAGCGGATTGCCTTGGATGGGAATCTACAAGCACACAAGGCAACTCAGTCAAACAAATCAAACCGCAAATAATATGTATAGTATATGTTGTGTAGTGTGAATAAATCTCCCAAAACTGCACATGTAAAGAGTGCGACTGAATTTGTATTGCTACACTGTGTTACACAAAAAAAGTGTGTTTAAGCCAATTCAGCTTGCCGAAGTAGCCCTTCTTCACAAAGGGATTCCTCAAGTCCGTAACTCCGCCAACTGCGACAAGCTTGTCGACTGTGCTACCTTTTGGGCAATGCATGCTTTCCTCATGGCAAGCCACACAAACGGATTGCGATTCGATTGTCCCTGCCTCACAAACACAGTCTGTCAAAGATCCTGCACCCAGTAAGAGCGTTGTCCGGGAACCACCACATGAGATACATGAGGTTTGCGCTGTGTCTGGTTGGTAAAAACCTTCATCACAGGGTGTGCATTGTGTGCTCCCAGACGAGCTTGCTGATGTGCCCTTTGGACACGGCTCACATTGGGTGGAGTAGGTGTTGGCTTGACTGTAGCCCGGAGCGCAAAGCTTGCATTGGAAAGTCCTGCCCTGATCATCAATGAGCTCCTCAGATGCAGATCCTGCTTGGCAAAGCCCACATCCGACAGCATCTGCTCTGCTGGAGACGAAAGCCCCGGAAGCATCCACCAACCCGAAGCCTTCATAGCAAGCAGTCTCGACTGGTTTCCATTTCATCCACCTCGTGAACAGAGACCCATCGCGGTTCGTCGGTCACATCTAGTCTATAGATGTAAGTAGACCCTAAGTAACTTATCATATTTAACAAGTATGCCAAGATATGCCAAGCTTATAGTTACGTGATGTTGCGTGTGATGCGCTCAGTATAGCTCGACTTTGGTTTGAACACATCTACATGCTGGATCAAACAACCCATCACTCTCATCGTGAAATAACCACCGTTCTACTGCGTGGGTCTGGAATTCGCGTCATGACGTTTACATCAATCATCTCACCGTCCACCGTGCCTGTCTCGGTTCTCCTTCATCCATTTGCACGAGACGTTGTAGGTAGACCCTGATTGCTGAAGCTCGAGAAGGAGATTTTGCACTTCGGGAAGCTCAAAGTTCATGTTGGACACAAACCTGGCGACTCCACTCCGCTCGACTCAACTCCACGGTCGGTTGGTCACAGTGACCAACACGAGAAACAACTGAACCGTTCGGAAGGACCGGTTTTCTGGGGACGGGGTGTTTTTGTTCTTCGAAAACAGCGGGCTGCCAGAAGCTGGATGTCGAAAAGCCTATCAAAACAGTAGGCTAAATTCCAAGAGCAAACAAATCACAAGAAGGTGGACTACCTCATACTATTGAACCACAAGCTCAACACAAAGATCTGAACAAACAGGACTTAGTGAGAGAGGAAACACACGCTCTCTGTTTCGCTTGAACAGTGCTTGTCTGTGGTGCCCAAAACGGACAACAAAGGTGAAGGCCAAGGTTTTCTCGTTTCCTCCAACTTTCAACCAGCTAGTTATCCCTCCTACTCTTCAGCTGCTCAAAGGCATGACATCCAAAAGGTCTCCAAAACGTATCAAGGAAAACCCGGAGATTCTGCCAAGGCACTCGCGGACCCTGCCTGCCTTCGCTTGCAAGTTGTGACTCACCAGCTTGGACACGTAGCTTCCTTTGGCGCCCGTCTTTTTGTCTCCTTCCCACCACTCAGTTGCACTGTGACGTGCAAAAGTCAGTGGCTCTGGCAACATGTCAATGAACGTGGAATCCGGAACCCACCAGTAGTGCAAGGCCCGATGATTCTGCACATGTTTGATCCACGTTGCATAGCCTTTGGAGAGTCCGACGGCTGTTGGCATTCCGTAGGCGGTAGACCACTGCATCAATGCCTGCAATTTCCAACCATTGCCTGACGTGAAGAGAGGGATGCACTGAGAAGAATTTTGCCTGCAAGCAGGGGCATACCACCAGCGATCGTTTGTGCACTTGGCGATATACGTACCATCTGGCTGGCTCACTACCCCGTCGTAGTCCCCAGAGTACTTGGCATAGTCTCCCATGCGACTTGGGTTACTCATGTCAGTTTCGCTGCACAATTCCAGTTCTGACAGGTCCACATCATGAATGGAATCGAAGTACTTCCTGCATGTGGACAATGCAAAAAAAGTTGCAAAGAACATTAAAGGGTGCTATATCCTTGAAGATATTTCCTTCAAACCAACAGGTTTCTGAACACATGTCATGTAATCATTACAGCCAGCAGGTACCTGAAATGACAGATTCCAATAGTGTTGCAAAAGAAAAAAACACACACAGAGACTTCTTTCAAAGCAGTGCAGGTCGGTATCCTTGGGTCGTGATGCGTAGTATTGTAGCCTCGGGACGTTAAAGAGACATCCGCTTTTGGGGGGAGGGAAAACGTTTAAAGGCACAACTAAGCGACTATCTGTTTGGGGTGTGGCGGACGATTCCTAAGTAGCCTGGGTAGTCCAGCCAGGAGCCCCGAGTTCTGGATGGTGGAAGATCATGATGAAGCAGGACCCACACAATCTATACTGTATATTGAGACGCAGTCATCTGGGAACATGAGATTTAGGATGATTTAGGCATGGCTGAATGGTATCACCCTGACAGTGACACATTTCACAAATCCAGAACATACAAGACAAACACGTTGTTTATGCTATTTTCATGATGTCATATAGAAGACACGCCTCTGCGATAGACATGAAAAACAATCTACAAGGGGTTCAGGGCAACTTTGTTGTCCCGGCGAGTTGTTCAATTGAAGTTGAGACAAACAACTCAAACTACATCGAGACAACCAAACCTCGAACAAGCAACTCTTGTAGAAGTCGAGGGCAAGACCGGAATCAGCATAAGCACTATTCAGGATGGCCTGGCTCACGTACATGGACTCCTCACCAGCATAGCCTTGCATTTGCTTAAGAAACCACACAGCATTCCCTATCCGGATTGCCTAAAGGGAGATCCACCAAAGTTGAAAAAGGGCAATCAGCATAAAGAAAACCAGGTAGCCCATGCTGCCCAAGTCTTGTGATGCAATTCTCGGGAATTCCTTGTTGAATTGATCCATGGCGGAAGCATAGCTACCAACCCAAGAGTCCACGCTGATATGGAGCGTCGTCTCATTAATTCCACACTGCTTTTCAGCCACGATTTTGTTGTCAAAGTCGAGACATCCTGGCAAAGCGTAGAAGCAAGACGCCCCATTGGCACCCATGCGCGTATCGAGGGTGGCATGGTAGCCCATGACTTCTTGAAGCAACATTTCCGTCAACTTGTTGAGAAGCCAAGACGAGGCCCAATTGCTCTGAAAGACCCCGATTGGGATATCATGGCCCGCTTCATCCTGCAAGAGCTACATGCATTAATGAACACTCAAAGAAAAGAGCGAGATTGGCTCTTGCGGGCCATTTTGCGCATATATTGCTATAAAGCCGAGTGGTATCTCAAACGCAGCTGTGATTTTTCACGACAATTCAAGTTAACACGCAGCGTATGGCAGTACGGCCTGGTGAAGGTGGCTTCGCTGTTCGGTCATGACAGTGGTTACAAATGGTTACAGCACGAAGCGGGTGGGTCAGCGGCGTAAGATAAAATATTTTGTTTGAAAGGAGGACCTTAAGAAAATTAATGACAAGAACCCCTCACAGCACCTGCCTGGATATACTTCCGCTGGCTTTCTGGCACACCATCGTCAAGGCAAAGCTCAGAGCCCAACCCTTTAAGCCCGTAAAGGAGCAAGACTGCTAAGCGCAGCATCGCTCTACGCATAGCTTCGAATGTTCTTCACAAGGGAATCAGGCACTTTGCGCTGAGAGCCAAGAAATATCTCGGAAGTCAAAGATTGGAAATGATTGGAATGTCATGAAATGTACGTGGCTGGCTTTTAAACAGCAGAAAACAGCAATCTCGAACTTCCTGCAGTGTTCAAATTTTGATCTGGCCTGAAACTTGTTGCCATAGACATTCCAAACCCCCAAAGGCTTCTCGTTTGCCAGCAGCTGCCGCTGCTCTTCCGGCACAACTTCCACCAAGCCAGTCAAACAATCCTGGTGTGGCTGCACGCCAAACGGCGCGGCGTTGTGCGCGCAAAAGGGCATTGAACCCTGAAATCAGGATTGGGGGTCTCTTGCCAGGTTCATTCCCAGACCGCCTATTTATGTGATATATAGTTATACACTTAAACAGCATATATTGTTTTAATAAGGGTACACAAATAAACATGTTTTAATAAGGGTCATAAATGGGGTAGATGTATGGTTGATGTGTAGATGTATGTAACATTATGTAGGATTGATGTATGTAAGCGTCTGCTGGAAGAGCTCTCCTCTGTTTACTCCAGCTTCCAGCCAAGGTCCTTCAATCTACCGATTTACCGATCTTGAAAGGCCATTGATTTCGGAAAGACACCGATCTACTGAATGATGACACCTTCGATCGGCGAAAAACACACACCGAGAAATTCGAGGCAGAAACCTGGGAGGCAGGAACCTTGAATAGTCTTGTACCAGCACCCTCCAACAGGTCACCACCCCGCCACTTTTAAGTCTCCAAAAGCCACCAGAGGAGACCTGTTGGAGGGTGCTGGTATATATCATGTCAGTATCTTAGAAGAGAAACACCACGTCCGGCAGCAGAAGGTCCGGCTATCTCGGTCCATCTCTCTCTCTCTCTCCCCGTCGGACTCCCGCGTAGCCCAACTCCGTTCAGATGCGACGCCCAAGCGTGGTTGGATTCCCATGTATATGGAATATATGCCTAGATCGACCCCTTAGACCACCCCAATGTAGGTAAATATACCAGGACCCTGCTGGCCAGGCTGTTTGGAGACCAAACCTTCACAGGTGGTGAACCGTCTGGGCACCAGGTGGTTGTCACCAGGAAGCACCGGACTGAAGTCGGGTGCTGGTACATGGAATATACATCCCTATGGATCCACATACCTTCTGAGGTACGGTGCTTGGAGACTATTTATGTAGGCGCCAGGAGGGTCCAATGACCTTCTGAGGTACGGTGCCAGTGGATCCATGGGGCATGGAGTGTTTGGGATTGGTTTCGTTTCACCCCCCCCCCTTCGGAATCCGATCCCGCGGACTCCGGATCCAAAGGGATCGGACCACGCGGAACCGAGGAGATCCGATCCACGTCCGGGTACATCGGTGCTGCCGTCCGGAGTCGAAGCCGGAGTCGATCTCTTTAGAACAGATGGGACGTCTGACCCCGTCCCAAAAACCAGCACAACGTCTAGCCCCATAGATCGGTATACCGAGGTACGACGTGTACGAGTTCCGGGTCGACGGAACTACCCGGTGGTCTGGTTACCACGGGTGGCGGCGTGGGACGGACCCCCTATGACGTGGGTTTCGTTGGTCCGCAGCATCCAAGTGACCCGAGTTTGGTCCGCCAAACGCCCAGACGCTCCATGGAGAGCCATAGATGAAACGGCCCAAAGTGGTGCTGGGGGGGGTCAATGACAGACATGGAGTGTCTGGGTTGTGGCACTTTGGCATGTGAACATTGAACATCTGTCGTTTGGGACACCCGGCGCCACGGGTTGGTCGTGTTTCCTTTCCCTTCGGCGAGCATACGGGGCGAGCAAGGGGAGGCTGTGGGGGTCAGGGTTCTGTGTGCAACGTAGACCGGGCTTAGACCTCAGCTGTGGCCTGGAAACGTCATGGAAATTGGTCCCCTAGGCCCTAGGCCTCCAAGTACCTTCTGAGAAGGTGGGACTGGGGTGGGTGCCAGGAGGGTCCAGTCAGGAGGTACGACTGGAGGTGTAGGGATCATCAACACACCCGGCCTGTCCACGCACCAGCGTGAGCGCCACCTCAGTCGATGTCACTGGTGCTTATAGGGGCACCTAAGAGAGATCCACGACAGACTGAGGTGCTAACACCCAACGTTGGACAGTGGGAAACCAAACCACCTTTAGAGTTGCCGCTTCGGTCTGTAGGCTTGGGACGGTGCACGAACACCCAGCCAAAAGAAAGCTTTCCGTGCCAGACGAAAACCAGACCCTGTACGTTCTCAACACGCGCTCCAAAACAAGGCAGGTTGCAAAAAAAGGAAACACCCATCAAGTGGTGCTCAGCTATGCTCAGCTTCAGCGTTTTTCCGATCAGGGATGGTTGAGGCCCAAGCACCCAGCAAAAGACGGTCCGAAGGGTTGTAAGATGTTGTAAGGGTCACACTCTTCTTCCCCAAACGAATCCCATCCAACCACATTCTAATTTGATCGCCTGCAGACCAAACAACCCTTGATGTTACAGAAGGGGACACCCTCAGAGTGCGTTTGTCCATCATTACTTGCATATATGCACTGTATTTTACGTTTGACCCAGACGCTCCGTTCACAGCCCGACTGGTCCCCAAGGATTCGGGTCCGACCCCTCCAGAGGATTCGGGTCCAGGGTCGCGTCTGGGTACTAGGACTTCTACCGGTCTCAAACGTCGGACCGGCGCGGTGGCGCTCGGACCCAGGACTGCCCCAGAAAGACCCTCGCACACACCACCCCTGGACTCGGCATCGACTTGGCAGTCCCATGGGTCGCGTCTGGGTACGTGACCGTACTTGAGGACTCGGATGAGGTCACTTAGGTCTGTACAAGGTCACTGGATGAGACTCCAAAGAGGTCACGAACTGAAGGTCCTGGTAGATGTTTGCATTTTTGGAGGGTATTCGGATGGCCTATACCAGGGGACCCACAGGTCCCATCAAAAACTGGGCGAAAACCCGAGCAACCAAACACCGTTTTTGTGAACATCCCATGGTGAACAACAAGGGGCAATTGAGGTCCACGGTACGTGGGCGCCCACCTCGCGTGGCCACGACGAAACGGAGGTCTGATCACATGATCCGACTGGTACCCCTGGAAATTTGGACACCAATCTGACGGGTAGCACTTCCGTAGGCCGGGCTCCAAATACCATCGATCTCGATCTGTTTTTGCTGGGACTAGCTATAGTCGTGCATGGTCTGAGCGAGAAGGTACGGCATCCGGATTCTGAGGTCTTGTACCAGGACCCTCCAACAGGCTGTTTGGAGACCTTAACAGGTGGTTTCTGGGCCTGTTGTCACCAGGAAGCACCTGTGAAGTCGGGTCCATATACATGCATGGGAATCCAACCACGGTTGGGCGCCGCATCTGAACGGAGTTGGGCTACGCGGCGGCGCTTTTTTTCGCCCCTGAAACGAGTCTTCCAAGATGCTGTCGCCAGCCACAGCATCGGCCGGTGGGGAGCCCGGCCGAACGCGTCGCGCGACTCGCGCCCCACGTGCTGGGAGCCGGGGACCGAGCGTGGCACGACATGTGAAAAATCAACAGCCTGGACCCTTTAAAGTATGGGACATGACCCTGTGAAAAGAGGTACGAACTTGGGAAACTGGACCCCCAAAACCACCCCAACTGATCGGCATTATATGGCAGTCCCATGGAGCGTCTGGGAATTGGCATCCGAGTGTGCTGCTCTCAGGTTCATGTGGACCAGACTTCGAGAAGTCCGATTTTATACTGACGGACACGTTTATACTTAGAACTTCGAACCGAATGTTTTCCAAAATGAAAAACAGCACACTTGGAACCCAGGTGTGACTTAGAACCTTTTGGCTGGAAACCCCAGGCTTAGAATCCAAAACTGCAGACTTACTTAGAACCTTTAAGCCTTGAGTCGCGGGTGTTGCAGGGGTAATGCAAAAGCTGAAGACTAGCGCAAGTCCAAGTTATTTTCTCCTGAATTTGTGATGTGAATCGCCATACATTCACAAAAGGATCATCAGCCAACCTTGTGCTTTCGGATGCAAGTCATGCTAATGCCTTTCCAAAGGCTCTATGTGCAGGCCTCTCCAGAGAGGTTACATTTTGGTTCTATATAAGTATACTTATATATATATAAATTCTACCGGGTCGAAAAAGAACAAGTATTTTTCCAACATAGGTTCTAAGTTAAGTCTGTTAGTATATAGAGGACATTTTTACGCGGATCAATTTGGCACCCTTATCGAGAACAAGCAAGCCGACTCTGACCACAATAGCGAAAATCGTTCCTGCTGATGCTAGCTGTCAGCCACGACCTGAGGTGGTCCTGGAAAGCATTGAGAGCTTTACTTCAGCGATCCTTGATAAAATTGAATCACACGATTGGAATCTTCTTTGCCAGGGGCCCCACAAACCTTGCTTTCCCTGGAAAAATAGACATGTGAATTTTTGTATGTGAATAAAACCTTAATTTCATTTTATTTCAAGGTTTTGAGGACCAACAGCATGGTTTCTCAGGTTCCAACGAATGCTTTCTTTGGTTTTTGACGCAGATTTGGTACGGAAAACACGCAATTTACCCAAATCCAAAGAGAAGTTCGTGCCACACTGACACAGCACAAACATTTGCACCTTTCATCAAATGTTTTTCTTCGGCATCTCCCGGTCGTTCGGCAAGTGTTTCTTCGGCATCTTCACGGAGTTGGACTGGATCTGAATCCACGTGAAAGTCAGTGTGAAAGTCCTGGAGCCTCGCTTCGGGCCTGAACCGCCATTGATTGGCACTGCCAAATCCACATAGCAAGCGGTTGCGACTCTGGGACTCATCCAAACTCCTTTCTGCTTGGGCCTGGAGGAGTCCAGGCGACCCCAGCTGACCCCACCGCCAGAATGCCCAGCACATCCCCCAGCGAGATGCCCAGCGTCCGGGAACGAGGGTTCGCGCTCACCCCAAAAGGTGCCAACTTATACAAGTCAGGAACTGATCTCATTTTACTGGAGTTCGTCATACAAAAACAGGTCAAAGAGGTTTGGACCTGGGTCAGACTGGACTTGTGATAGATTCTGATGCACAGACCTGGACCCAACTTCAAACACCTCTTAGCCAGCAGTCACAGAGCTCGGGGCGCGAGCTATCCATGGAGGTAGGAGTTGGGTGCCCAAGAACATCCACAGCCACTCACTGGATGGGGGACCAAACACCATCCCGACCTGTGACCCCTCCCTGGGGCTCCAACCATATCCTTAGAAGGTGGTTAGACCCCCAAAACCCACCCCAACCACCTTCTCAGGAGGTGGTTGGAGCCCTAGGGACTATTGGGAAAAATCCTTTTGCTGGGTAGCCCAGTGTCCCCAAGTCCTCCAAAAGGTCCCGGCGCAGCCGGAGGACCGGCGGGGCTTCGAAGAAAGCTAAAACATGAGACGGTGCCATGGTCGGGTCCAGTCGCATCTTCGTTTCGGTACGGTGGCAATGGATCCCTATTCTCCCCAGGTCCTATAGGTTTCACTTTGCCAACTTGACCAATACCTCACCAGTTTGTGCTTGCTGCGCGCGCCCCTGGACCCACATTGCTTCAGCGTAATTATAATTGGTCTTACGTCACGATATGCGTTTATACCGGTAAAAATAATGTGTATATGCTTAAGAATTGGAGCAATGTACAATATATTGATTCAATCTAAATATGCCATTCAATGTTAATCATGCTTTAATTTATTATTTGCATTTAATCATTTAAATATGGTTTCATCACTTTGCCGCTTTTCTTCGTTTCGACCTGAGTCGCCGGGCAGATCTCCCAGATCTCCCGTCCTCCAGATCACGGACCCCGTCCCTCCGGTCGCGGGCGTGGCCGGCTGGCCGGCGGCATCCGGTTCCACCAACCCCGAAAAGATCTTCGACTTTGAAGCTTTGCAAACCCTAGGGAACCACAGATCCACCCTCTGAGAACCTCTCTCTCTCTCTGCACTTAGCTTTGCTTCCCGACCTGGCAAACAGCGGTTGGAATTGATATTGTATACCATTGTACCATATCTTAGGTAATCTTGGGTATATCCTATATCTCATGACCAAAGCCAAGTGGATGATGATGGTTAGGTTGCAGGCCTTTCTCAACTAAATAGTGAAAATCTTTTACCGACTGTGACTGGCTTACTGGGACACTCTCGAACCATCCGCTTGCTTCATCAACAACGTGAACCTAACCTACCTATAGCCTAGGCCTCCAATGACCTTCTAAGAAGGTGTTTGGATGTGTTTGGGGTGGGTGCCAGGAGGCTCCAGTCATACCTTCTGCATGAGGAGCTACGAAAACGGAGGTGTAGTGTGGGATACAATAACACGAAAACCGAACCTTCATGAGGTGTTCAGGACCTAAAACTGCGGCTCAAACGCTCAGACTGGAGGTGTCGGGACCGAACTTGTCCCTGCTCTTCGTCCCATCTCCGGACCGCCGGACCGTCTGCCATCTCCGGTCTGCTCGGACTCCACACGGCCGTTGCACGGAGGGCACCTCTGGACGGTCGACCGTTGCCCGGTGGTGTGGGGGGCGTCAGAGCGGCTGGAAGCGCCGGTTTGGCGGGGAAAAGCAGAGGAATCAGCACGTCTATGATAAGCAAAAGCAGCAGGTTTGGCTTGGGCAGGTTTGAAGATTGACGCTCAATGACCACACGAGCCAAGGGTGTGCTTGACCTTGGAGTTATAGTTTCTATACTCAATGAACTGACTTGTCCATGAAACTCTGTGAAAACGTCACGCGGGATGCACCTCATGCTGTGTAGCACCGGGCTCTAGAGACGAAAACACCTTGACCTAGGAGATCCTAGGTCCTAGGACGCACGCAAGCTTGGCAAACTGACTTGGAAGGTTGAAAGTGATAGCAAAAAATATCAGAATCCACCTGTTGCAGCCTAGTCTCCGTGTCTCATTGTAACCCCCCAATAAATATATTCTACTTACCACCCCCATTTTGGAAGACCAGCGCGTGGGATTTTTTTCTCCGCCCAACCCGCTGGGCGCGACGTCTCACTCGGCTGACCGACGTAGGCGGAGGTGCGCCCTCCAGAGGTGAGAAACCTGCGACGACGACGGTGACCGGCGGTGACGACGACGTGTTGATGTGACGTGCCGATGTGTGACGTGCCAATTTGTGGTGCCCGAGATTGGGGGGGCTTACGCCGCTTGTTGCATTGCTTTGGCTGTTGCTTCACACATCGGTTACCCCCATGAGATTTGCATCGGGTCTGTGCCTTTATTCCATTGATGGGAGGACGGCAGGCAAACGGCCCAATAGGATATGATGATCAGATAGGCAGAGCTCAGCTGGGCAGACAAGGACGGTCCGCCACTCAGCTGTTGAAGAAGAAGACGCTTTTGACAGCAGCATTTAGATACCCTAGGGCTCCAAGTACCTCCTCAGAAGGTGTTTGGACCCTCCTGGCACCCACCCCAGTCCCACCGAACCTCAGGTTCGGTACGACTGGAGCCCTAGGGATAGGATGTTTTTGCGGAGCTTAGGTCGCCGAACTAAATGGAATTGGCGAAAACGGTTCAACAGCAATCGAAGAACACATATATGGGCTTTACCATGTTTTACTTCTGGGGTGTCCCTGTTTCTACAAAAATGAATCTGAACGGGACCTAGCCTTCAAAGTGCATTAAAAAAAGAAAAAACAACAACTTGACCTGGTCGTGTAGTGCAAAATCCTTAGCAAAACAATGATTTGTTGGGTCATCAAGTAATGGTTGGGCCTGGAATCCTTCCCACTGGGTGGTCCAAGCACCACATGCGCTGGCAGCGCCTGATTTCACGTCCTTTGCCATCCGTAGACTTGGTGCCTTTACCCTTGGTGGGAAGACGTGATGCCGAACTCCGTGCGCAGCGATAAGATCAATCTACCTTGCCTCAGCCTGTCTCATGTATGATGCATGCACGCCAATCACTAAGGACCCTGCACGAGGTGTGCAGCGGACTCCGGGACCCGAACTCGACGGGTCCCAATTCCAACCAGGTCGTCGAGTCGGCGGGAAGCCCACCCTCAAACGGTTCCAATTCCCGGGCTGGTTGAGGTCGTTGAAGTGGTGGGGTCGTCATGGGTCGTCCAATTCCCTCATATAAATCCACATTCCTTCTCAGCGAAGGTAAGGTTGGACGCTCCATGCCTACCTGAAGCATCCTTTGTAGCACTTATTTCTGGCGACCCATGGTTTGGAGCACTTATTGGAAGTTTGAGCGTTAATTGAGGGTATGTACACTTTTCAGGACATATGAGCGCTTTTTGATGATGTAAATTCTAAAGCCTACTGGTTCCTGACCAGTGTCCTTATCAACCCTTGTGGGCCTTTGGGGGCCCTATGGACCGGGTGGAAATCCTATATGACCTCCTACTAGTAGTATGTGCAAATGAAACCACAAAGGTTTGGTTCCAACCTTCTGGGCGTGCTTTACAACAATTTTTCCAAAAAGGGTGCCCGCAACTTGGGCGCAAATTCCCGCAATCCGGGCGCAAATTCCCGCAACCCGGGC